ACCTCGGGGCCATTTCTTTTTCTCTTTGCCTCATGGTGCGAAAACAAGGGGGTGGTATATTTTACGCCACTACCACACGGCGAGTCTGTTCTTTCGGCTTTGTCGCTCTTTTAGCACCACCCGGGGGAAACGTGTAGGGTGGGCCTAGGATGAGGTAGTCGAAGCCTACGGACGCGAGCGACTTATCCCCTTTTTATACAGTTTTTTTATAATTGAATATTTGAACTCGGTAATAGAGATACCTTGTATATTTTCTGGGACTTTGTTGTAATATCGTATACATTGCCCCAAGAATGAATTACTGACTCTCTGGAGTCGTAAAACTGATACTAGCTTGTGTTTGTTCCTAGTGTTTACAGAGTGTATATCACTTTTTTACCAAAACTACCTTTATTTTTGTGAAAATACATCAAATTTTCATATATATACTGAGAAGCCAAAGTTAATATACTTATTTCTTTAAATTTATCTCTAAGAGACTCTCTCGGCTTAACGTTGTAAATAGCTCCTGTGGCCCTCTTCTGCAAAACAATAATAGTTACTAAATCAGTCGCATTTCCCCATAGCCAAATACCATATGACATTATGGTAAGGAAATAACTGAAATTAACTAATCTTCTAGCTGTCTCGACACTAGTGAGATCTCTATCTTTTTTACAGCATAAGCTGCAAAGCTTAGCCCCACTGAAGCTTAGCGTCGAGAGTGATGCCAAGAAAAACAGAGAAATCAATTAATATATACAGTACTTCAATAATTATTCAAAATATACAGACTATAGCAAGCAAGTACGAATGTGCGCTGTATGCCCGTTTGTCTCAATGTTTGTGTCGCGTTATTTTTGCCATTTAAAAATGTTTGTCATATATTTTCTTCTTTATCATTTAATATTTGACAAATTCTTTTCTTTTTTTAATAAAAACGTGGAGGTACCACATAAGGATTTTTTCCTGCATCGTGAGGGCAATTGTCAAGCATAAGTTTTACTAGACAAAACGTGCGAACCCAGTACAAATACAAATATTTGCTCCGTGCGGGATTCAAACCCGCAGCCTTTAGCACTGTAGCTCATGCTGTGCCACGGAGCCGTCATCACAACTATACGTTATTGCGTTATTATATTCTTGAAATTGTGTCACAGTCTGCAAAGTGTGACTAGGAATTTATATTTCGTTGTAGTCTGTAAAGAATGAAAGGAGAAAACGAAGAGTGATATTACCATTTTAATATGGTGTTGAAGTTTATCGTGACTTGCCTAATTTTAAAGACGGCTTACGGTCGGGTCAAACATCATCTGACAGAGTAACTAGAAATACATTAGCCCTTGTGATAAGCTATAATAAAAAGCCTAGACGCATAAATAATTAGCAAAGCCTCAGAAAAGGTTGATGTGTGGATACTTTGTAGGTTTTATAATTTTATCTGGTTTTGTTTGTCTAATATATGAGAAGGTACTTAATTTCGAAACTCGGTAAAAAGAATAAAAAGATATTGAAATTAGACTAATCGCAGAGTGAGAGTGAGAGAATGGCTTATAAATTATACATATAATACCAATATACTACCGATAATTGCTAAAAATTATCAGTAGTAGTTAGCTAGTTAAGTTATGAGAAAAAAAAACACAAATATAAACGTCTCCTCAATTTTCAAATCATACAAAACCTATGAAAAAGAATCCCAAAAGTTAACAGAAATTTACGATATACCACCGTCGAAGTTTTGTGTACAATGAAGCCATCTTTTAAAACGAACGACAGTAAACCGTAGCTCGTTTCGTGATAAAAATATTGGCCAAAAAATGTTGGCACCTTTGCTCGTCTTCTATTACATACTTGAAAGTCTTGAGGTATCATAATTTTAGCTTGTTAAGTGTGAGTTTTTTTAATCTCGAATTGAAAAATATCATTTAAATATATCAACTTCTATGCCGATCTTTTTTGAGTTTACTGCTGGACATATGCAGTAGATATTATGGTCGTTGAGGCAAAGTCGATACCCTTGCACTGGTAACGGTAGACCCCATTATAAATGTGAGAAATTTTCGTTTTTAGCGTTTGAATAGTTTTCTGCCATCGGACCATCGTAGTGAACTTATCTGTAAATTATCTTGGTGCCCAATGTGCACTTTGTGTTTAACACTTGAAATAAAAGTTGTAGCTTCACTCTTTACGTAAAAGTACAAGTAAAAAGAACTTATTGACATCATTACTTGCTACTTAGACTGGGAACTTGAAACAATATTATTCATTATGTGAGTTTTCAATGCTATTATTTTTGGTAAGTTAGTGAAGTACGCGCAAAACTTTAATGCACTCGAGAGAAGTAAGCAATATTACTGTGTGCAAATAAAATCATGAGAAAAAGTTATTTTGCTATTTTGCATTCAACGTAACGAAATATTCCCAAAAAATTAATAAATATGTTAAATTGTTTTTCTTGTTTGATTGCTCCGTATTTTTGCTTAAGGCATTTTGAGCAAAACGGCAAATCCAGGTACATTTCCATAAGCCAGAATATGACGATGAAATGGGAGGAGCTTACAAGCTGTATGTATATATTTTGCTTTTATTTTTGCTAACCCAAATCCTTCATTGTTTCATTAATATAAGCTGCTGATTGACCTAATTTGCAAAAATTGAAAAATATTCTTAGCTTAACAAAAGTCTATTCACTTTTACCTCTAAGACTCGATGATGACGACAATGACGACATTCGTTTGGTTCGAGTATGTGGTACGTTGACAGCGAATAGGTGAGAACAGGTGATTGTATGGTGGTTCGGTTATGGAACGGAGAGAGAGGAATAAAGTCACGAAACGAAATTTATATAGTGGAATGTATAAAACTGGTAAGATTAGTATAACCATTTCTAAATTCAACGTAAGTAGCGTTGAAATTTACTACTCTGCTACTGAAAATAGTTTTGAGTTCCGTAGAGTTAATGCTTCATCATCATCACCATCATCATTCATCTGAACATAGGCCTCCCAAGGGAATGCACCAAAGCACGGTACTGAGCCACCTGCATCCATCGACTTTCTGCATGTCTTACCAAATCGTCACTCCATCTAGTTAGGGGTCGCCCTACACTTTGCCTACCGGTACGAGGCTGCCACTCGAGAACCTTTTTTCCCCAATGGTTGTCGGTTCTTCGAGCCATATGGTTGGCCCATAGCTACTTCAGCTTACTGATCTGTTAGGCTATGTCGTTCACTCTGGTTCTACTTTGGATATCAACATTTCAAGTTTATCGCGCAAAGAAACCCCGAACATAGCCCTCTCCATAGCTCGCTGAGTTACCTTGAGCGTCCTCATACGGCCAGCAGTGAAGGACCACATCTCAGTTCCATAGGTCATCATTGACAACACGCACTGGTTTGTACAGTCTCGTTTTCAGGTTTTGAGGTATAACTAACGAGAAGATGTATTGTAATTTCCCAAACGCTCCCCAGCCGAGTTGAATCTGTCGATTGACCTCTCGGCCTAAGCAGGAAAATTTGTCGCAGGTAAACATACTCGTCAATAACTTCGAGCTTAGTGCTCCCAACAACTACCGGCATAGGTTTGACATGGACGTTACACATGATCTTTATTTTGTCCATGTTCATCTTAAGACCTATACGTTGGGAGGCACCATTGAGGTCGTTAAATATAGTGCTTAGGTCCTTCAGCGATTTTGCCATAAGGAATATATCGTCAGCAAATCGATGGCGAGTAATGTACGCGATTCATTGATGTTAATAGCGTATCCTTTCCAATCCAGTAGCTTGAAAACGTCTACTAAAACAGCGATGAAGAGTTTCGGAGATATAAATTCACCCTGCCTTACACCACTCTGCAATTGTATAGGTTTCGTACTCTGGTCCTGTACTCGGATATCCATCATAGCCCTACTGTACAAACACTTCAGCACTTCGACATACCGGCAGTCAATTTGGCACCGCTAAAGGGGCTGTATTACCGCCTGAATTTCGACGGAATTAAAGTCTTTCGTATAGTCCACATACGCCAAGCAAAGTAGCAGATTGCACTCTTCTGTGTTCTGTAAAATTTGCCGAAAGGTATGTATATGGTGTATGGTGCTAAAGCCTTTTAGGAAACCGGCTTGTTCGGGAGGTTGGAAGTTGTCGAGTCTTCGTGCACGAAAATTCGTAATGACTAATGACTCTCGAAAACAGCACGTAGACGTGGCTCAGAAGGGATATAGGTCTGTAGTTATTTTTTTTAAATTTATTAAGGGCAACCAACAAGGCGTACACGAACACAATGTAAATACTACAAATTACAGGAAGGTTTATATCTAAGTGTCGTCTTAATTAAAGTTTGCCACGGCATGCCGCTTTTGTTATGTCATGTTTATTCAAGAGGGCGTTGTCACCTTTCTTGAAGAACAACACCACCTCACTTCTGCTCCACGCCTCGGGAGTAGTGCCACCATGGAGGACGGAATTAAAGAGCTTCTGAAGGACTTTAAGTACCGGTTTTCCACCCGCTTTCAGAAACTCCGCTGTAATTCCATCCTCGCCCAGGACCCTGCGGTTTTTAAGGTGCTGGAGAGCCATTCTAATCTCGCTCAGACTGACGTCCAGGATGTCATTGGAATATTGTCGGATAAGACTTGCTATTGGATCGTTACTCATAATTACGCAATTATGTATGTTAATTTGATTGTAAACTACTTTTTGTTCGTCATTCAGTGATCCTTTATTTTTAAATATTTTTATGTTAAATGGATGGAATGGATTGATTGATGTAATGTTTTCGGCGCAATAATAACGGTGATATAAATAATAATAATAATAATAATAATAATAATAACTGACGTAACAGTTAAGTGACAAAACTGCTACGTCAACGCAGTCAGTCAGCGCCTTGCGAGAGGTGTGAGCGCCGTGCCGCGGCAGAATTTAGGGTGCAGAGGCCCGTTTGTGCTTATGGCTACACACGAAACGGTGCCGGGCCTGGGCGTCTCCCGTTAATGGACGCCCAAATAATGGATGATGGATAAAAAGATAGTGCGCAAAGGGCCGCTGCCTGGGGGTCGCCGGGGCGCGTCTGGAGCTGGCGCTGGACGCGGCAGCATGCGGGCCGCCAGCCGAGCGCGAGGAGCTGCACGGTCATCTACCAGCCCTCCGCATCCATCATCCCCACCAGAAGGCTTGGTGTCGGCTGGGTCTTCTCGGACTCAGCAAGCGGCACCCGCCGCTGGTGGAGCACGTCGCATGCGTTGGTCACAAGAAATGAATGCAAACGCACTGCGGGCGTACTTTAGGGCAAAAGGGGAAGAAACTGGATGTTTGGCGTATCGGGCTAGGATGCATCGTCTTTTTGCTGAGCTGGAGCCATCTTTAATCGTCACAGAGCAAAACCTGGCAGACCGAGTTCGGTATATCTTGCGCTCAAATATATTTGATGTCGCCGAACTCGAACGGCTACGACGTGAGGCTGTTCCCTCGTCGGATGAGAATGCTACGGCTGAGGATGCGGCGCCACAAATGGTAGAGCAACCCGCAAACGTGGATGCCGCCGTGAATACCCCAGTTGTGGTTGATTCAAACGATGATGGAACAGTCGCCCAGGAACTGGAATTAGAGCATATGAGGAGTATATTGGAAGAGGCTATTGTGGAAACGCGCAGTACGCCTCTCGAAAATCGACCGCGACTTCCCCGCATAGCCCTAAGCAAGCGGAATCGGGCTGTCGTGAGGGCTCTGAACCCAATGCTGGTTACCTATTTGGAAGCCAGCCGGGACCTTTGCGAGACGGACTCAATTCTTTTTGGCGCCGCGCTGGCAGTCTGCCGTATCATAGGCGCCAAGGTTTCCACGGCTGGACGCGCTACTGGCCATAGTAGCGCTATCCCAGCATGGAGAAGAAGAATTGAGGAACGTATCGCAAAGGCTAGAGCTCTCATCGGCAGACTGATATGCTTCAGATCAGGCAACAACAGGCCAAGAATTGTGCGCACCGTCAGGATGGCGTTTGCTGGGACAAATGTCAGTTTGTCCCAGCCGGATATAACGCAAAAACTGACGGAGCGCATAGATGATCTGAAGCAGAGAATCGCTGCTTGGGGAAAGCGGATTCGGCGATATACCGAGAGGTCGACACGGTTCAACCAGAATCGTCTCTTCCAGAGTGATCAGAAGAGGCTCTATGAATCATTGGAGCGACCAATGGTAAGTGGAACGGGTCCAGCACCGGATCAGGCCGACACTGTAGCATTCTGGCGCGGCCTGTGGTCAGAGCCCGTAAACCACAGCGAGGGCCCTTGGACGGAAGTTGTGGCGAGTCAGTGTGCGGGTATTACGCCCATGGACCCCGTCATCATAACGCCGGATGACGTAGCTGAGGCGGTTCGTAGGGCCCCCGAACTGGAAAAGTCCGGGGGCTTGACGGGCTGCATCACTACTGGCTGAAGGGGTTCATGGTGTGCCACTCTGTGCTCGCCCGACAGTTTCAAGAGGCTCTCAACCAGAAGTCGCTCCCAAGCCTCTTCACTACTGGGATCACTCATTTAGTTCCTAAAGACCAGGGTACCACAGACCCGAGCAAATACCACCCCATCACGTGTCTACCGACCATATACAAGACACTAACATCCATTTTGAGCGCGAGAATCACTTGTCACCTGGACTCAAATCAGGTGATGTCGCGCGCTCAAAATGGATGTCGGGGCGGTGGTCGTGGAACCAAGGAACCACTCCTCATTGACGCGGTCATTGGCAAAGTGGTGAAACGCAACCGTCGGAACTTCTCCGCCGCCTGGATAGACTACAGAAAGGCATTCGACTCGGTGCCCCATACATGGCTAGAGAGAGTCCTCGAGCTGTACAAGATAGACTGTACAGTTAGAGACTTCCTCGAGCAGTGTATGGGGCAGTGGAGTACGATCCTTTGTCATCTAGGCGAGCGGATGATGGCTGCGGAGAACCACATAAGGATAAGAAGGGGTATCTTCCAGGGCGATTGTCTGAGTCCAATCTGGTTCTGCCTCTCTCTGAACCCTCTCAGTACCTTACTGGAGGGCTCCGGGAGGGGATTTCAGCTACGAAAAGGAGGGACAAAAGTGACCCACCTTTTCTATATGGATGACCTCAAGTTATTCGCCTCCAGTCGCTCCCATCTTATGGAATTGTTAAACATCACTTGTGAATTTAGCAATTCTATTGGAATGGAGCTGGGAACGGATAAGTGTGCGGTCCTCCATGTTGAAAGGGGACGGGTTGCTAACTCTGAGGGCGTAGACTTATCTATGCCCGTCAACTTAAGGACCCTTTCCGAGGCTGAAACATACCGATACCTGGGTATGTCACAAAACATCGGTATCGATGAGACTGGTATGAAACAGTCAGTTTGCGACGTGTTTTATGCACGCTTGACCAAAGTGCTTAACAGCCTTTTGTCCGGTGTGAATAAGGCACACGCATATAACGGCTGGGTCATGCCTGTCCTCATGTATACCTTTGGCATACTCAGGTGGACTCAGACTGAACTTAACGCCCTGGATAGAAAAGTCCGCACTACAATGACGTCCCATAGGATGCATCATCCGAGATCGTCGGTAATGAGGCTGTACTTGCCGCGGAAGCATGGTGGTCGTGGCTTCTTGAGCGCGCTCACCATGCATAATCGCGAAGTGTGCAGCCTCCGTGATTACTTCCTGGCGAGATCGGATGATCCATTCTATAAGGATGTCATTTCTTGTGATAAAGGACTTACCCCTCTATCCTTAGCCAACGAGCAATGGCAAGACCCGGCAGTGCAGAGCATTTCCGACCGGGAGACCGTATGGAAGGAGAAGGAGCTCCACGGGAGGTTCTACAAGGCTCTACATGAGCCTTTCGTAGACACAGTAGCCTCCCTCCACTGGCTACGCTTTGGTGATCTCTTCGGGGGAAACCGAGGGTTTTGTCTGTGCAATACAGGATCAGGTTATTAAGACCAACAACTATCGGAGATACATCCTAAAGGATGGCACCGTCGACATCTGTCGAGCTTGTCGCCATCCCGGTGAGTCACTTAGGCATGTTATCTCCGGTTGTTCGGCGCTTTCTAACTCTGAGTACTTGCACAGGCACAACCTAGTAGCCAGAATTCTACACCAGGAGCTCGCTCTGAAATACGGTCTCGTGGATCGGAAATTGCCGTATTACAAGTACTTGCCGGAAGCCGTGCTCGAAAATGATCGCGCCAGGCTCTATTGGGACCGTGCCATCATCACAGACAGGACTATTCTTGCGAATAAGCCTGATATTGTGCTGATGGACCGGGCACAGTCAAGGATATTTTTGGTCGACATTACCATTCCGTATGACGAGAACCTCGTGAAAGCCGAAACAGACAAGCAAACAAAATATCTGGACCTGGCTCACGAGGTGACCGACATGTGGGGTGGTCTGCCGACCGAAATTATTCCTGTAGTCGTCTCTGCAAACGGGCTAATCCCAGTCAGCCTCTCGGGTCATCTGAGGCGGCTGGGACTACGTGGCGGACCGCTCCAGGTTCAAATGCAGAAGGCGGTGCTCCTCGATACCGCCCGCATCGTCCGCCGGTTTCTTTCCCTTTCCCCCTAACCCTCGGCCGTTTGGTCTCCCCTGCCGAGGGCCTCCATCTGGTTGGGCTTTTATTTATTTATGTACTTTTATATTTATTTTATGTTATTGATATTTATGTATATTTGTCTTTTCATTTTCATTTATAATTATATATTTATAGCACCCAACCAGATGAGAAAACTATATAGATACCCCAAAATAATAATAATAATGTGTACTTTATTCGCTCTCATAAATTTGCATTACCATTATTATAAATAATACCATTGGAAGATAAACAACTTTTATTTGTGAGAGCCTGGTTTTAGTACTAGGAAAGACCTGTGTGACTTATCGACAGACTCTTGTCCTATAATGTAACATTAATTAACATACCTTTAATTTCGTATGCTAATGTTCGTATAGCATACTTATGAAAACTGTGAAACCTACATTATGCAACCAATATAAATCTTTTAAAAAGTTTTTATACAAGATATGAAAATTAATAAATTCAAAGGATTCAAAGATTTTCTGATGTTCTTAACCACAAACTTTGTGATACAAACGCCACATTTTTTTTATTGATATGGTCAAAATAGACACAATACCTTAAATACAAGTGTTATCATAAAACGTAAATCATAAACACCTCATTTATCAAAATATTTCCTCCGAGCCTAAATAACGAGATTGTTTTTTGGAAATTTGGGTGACATTTAAATTTACCGTCTGTATAATGACAAGTGATTATTGTGGTCCATGGACACCTACACCAAATTTCAAAAAAAAAAACCTACAGATGCGTTTTCTGATTTGAGTACTAAGATGGAATGCCTTACAGCGTGTAAATATACTGCCTGTCTACACCCTTCACACCGGGACACTATTACGCAAGCACTGCTGATAGGAGTACGAGAAGAATGGTTTGGGACTTTTCGTAATTTTAGTTGTCTCGAGTCTCGGGACTTTCAGGTCGAAATTATTATGTAATCATTTTTATTTTAAAAGAATTGAAGAAGACTGGCGCCATCTGTTAGTTTAATGAATTATTACTTCATTTAACTCAGTAGGGTTACGTAATATACAGCAAGTACAATGTCAAATCGACCGGGTCGAGTCCAACAAAAAATCGGGCATGAAGAGAAGGACCTCATGGAGCGCATTGGATTCCTAATTGAGAGAAAGCTGGCTATCTTTGAGGCCATGATATTTCCAGATAGGGTTATCCGGCCTCCACTGGCAGGGGCGAATAAGCCGCAGACAACCTTGCCGCAATTGTCAGCACATCCACTTCAACCGTTGGAATCACAGGCACCACTGCAGCCGCAGAAGGCTAAGAGACAAAGGGTGAAGAGGAAAAAAAAGAAGTCCGCTTTTCCACCGCCGGCCGCTCTCCCCCCAGTAGCTGCACCTGTGTTGAATAATTCAGCACCGAATGTCAGTTCGTGGGTGGAAGTTGCTAAGAAGCCGAAAAAAGCAAGGGCCATCCAAAAGCGGTCCAACACGACGGCTTCGCCTCTGAGTACGACACAAAAAAGGAGCAACAAGAAAAGGATTTTATGTGCCCCGACTTCTGCGGCAGTAACGGTCACGGTGTTGGAAAGCTCCTCCGTTACTTATGCTAAAGTAATGGAGGAAGCCAAAGCCAAAATCCATTTGGCAGACTTTGGCATAGAAACTGTTCGTCTTAAGCGCGCAGTAACTGGAGGACTCCTGCTGGAGATAACAGGTCAGGACTGTGGAGAGAAGGCGGACAAGCTGGCGGCAAAGATGCGAGAGGTTCTCTCGGACCTGAACGTGCGAATTAGTCGCCCAATCAAAACAAGCGACGTTCGGCTGAGGGACCTCGACGATGCCGTCAGAGCTGAAGAGATTGCAGCGGCGATGGCTGAAGCAGGGGGTTGTTCAGTAGACAACATAAAAGTCGGGGAAGTCCGACGAACACCCACTAGCATGGGGACGTGCTGGGTACGATGTCCTGTCGTGGCGATCCATAAGATTGCAGCCGTTGGGAGAGTACGGATAGGTTGGGGGTCTGCCCGAGTGGAGGTACTTGAGCCCAGGCCCATGCATTGTTTTCGATGCCTTGAAAGAGGGCATGTTGCTAGCAGGTGCCCGAATGAAGTAAATAGAGCCGAACGCTGTTACGCTTGTGGTGAGCCTGGGCACGGAGCCAAACAGTGCACTGCGTCGGAACCCAGGTGTCCTCTGTGCTCAGATCTCGGGCGGCCTGCCAACCACAGACTGGGTAAAAAGTGCGTCCCACCTCCTAAAAAATACAAGGGAAGGAAGAACGAGCAGACTCCATCTGCATCCATAAATACGCCGGACACAGCGACATCAGTCCCTGCACCGAGTCCTAACTCGGCAATGGAGGTGGTCGAAAAATAAAATAAATTTCACACCCCTTAAAGTTCTCCAGGGCAATCTGAACCACTGCCGCAATGCACAACATCTGCTTATGCAGACCATTGCGGAGTGGCGGGTTGCCCTTGCAGTAGTAGCGGAGCCCTATTCTGTTCCCGACCATCCTCGCTGGTTCGGTGATGAATTGGGCTCTGTAGCCATCTACTGGGGGAATGAGGAAGAAACCCCACCCTGCGCCCTATTAAGAAGGGGGCAGGGCTTCGTTGCAGTGCAATGGGGCCCCCTGGCCATAGTCGGATGCTATGTCTCTCCCAATAGGTCCCTTGCCGACTACGAGGTGTACCTAGACGAGGTGGCGAATTGTGTTCGCGAATGTCAACCTCGTCCGTTGATCGTTCTAGGAGATTTTAACGCCCACACCAGGGCTTGGGGCAACTCCAGAGACGATCCGAAGGGAGAGACAGTGATGGAATGGGCGGCTGGGCTGGACCTCCGATTAATGAATCAGGGGT